GACATTTATTTTCTAAACATAACGTCCCAGTGGCTTTTAAACTCCAAAATACATTACGGCAAAGACTGGTTCATCCCAAAGATCCAGTCCCCCGGCACAAACAGGGTAATATTGTGTATGCTGTTCAGTGTCAGGAGGGCTGTGATCAGTCTTACATCGGGGAAACTAAACAGCCACTGGCCAAAAGGATGTCCCAGCACAGAAGATCAAAATAATCAGGCCAGGATTTTGCGGTCTACACTCATCTCCAGGCCAGCGGTCACTCTTTCAGGGATGAAGATGTTCACATCCTGGACAGAGAGGAACTATGGTTTGAGAGAGGAGTAAAGGAGGTCATCTTTGTGAAAAGAAATCGTCCATCATTAAACGGGGTGGAGGCCTCCGGGTTCAACTGTCCCCCTCTTACAATGCTGTGATTGCTAGTATCACTCAACCCCCTGTGAATAGTAAACAGCAATCAGTGTGCTAATGATCCATTGTTAGGCTGATGGTCCTTCTTGACCATGTGAGAAGCTGGTTTTGGTTGTCAGCAGCAAACTGGTTGATCCGCTCTGAGAAGGTGCTATTTAAGAGACTGAGCTGAATACAGCACCTCAGACTGAGGAAGTCTCTCGGATGAGAGGAAACGTTTCTTCATTTTTTTTTGCTTTGTTTTTTTTTTTTTTTCTGTTTTTTTTTTAATGTCCAGAGGACCAGATTGAACTTTTTTGGAATAAATTAATTAGTTACTGACTAAAATTGAAGAGAATTTATGGTCAACAGGTCAAGTTAACAGTTAAGGTTTGTGTGTCAAGTCATCACAGGAAGTGGAAGTCTGAACAGATGGCCAGGCCAGTAGAAGAAAAAAGAAGTTATCTGTAGAAAAAGAGGAAGCCATCTACAGAGAACAAGAACAAGATACCTTAAGTGAAGAGGCAGAAAAAGAGGAAGCTCTGTGCAGAAAAACAGGAAGACAAACCTAGTGGCAGTCAAAGGTAATTTTAGCAATGACAGTGACGTTGAACATGTGATCTGACGTTGTAGAATAGTCTGTATTCAGGACTGTTGCTATGCAGAAATTACGCAATAAGCAGACAAATGTATAAAAAGGCTCAGCATTAACAATCAGTGCTGAAGCACTTGGAGAGTTTTTAAGGACAGTTCATTGACGCATTCAGTAACTAAAGGGAACTTGAAGATCCAAAGAGGAAAATAATTTTTCTCAGCTCAACCCGGACTTGAAAGCCAACTCACGTTTCCAAAATTGGATTTTATTGAATGCAGTATGAAATATTCTTCAAAAGCAACTGAGGAATGCTTGTCGCCAGCTTCATCATTCAAGGATCCCCTTTGACAAGGGGTCTTCAAGAAGAGATGGTATGACGCATATTAATAGCTGTCCTAAAATAAAATTAAATAATTAAAATAGCTTATAGCTATATATACTAGTAGAATGTTGGGACTCTTGACAACATTGAGTTTTCAGGATTTACTCGTTCTATTAAATTTGGTCTTTTTAAAGTCATAATTAATACAATTTAGGAGAGGTTCCCCATTTTTGCTGCATTATGGGATTTTGAAGATGCCTTTGTATTTTTTGATTTTTATCCTTTTTGCTTGATAGAGTTTTTGAACACACTTTAGATTTCAACTTTTTAATTTTTTTATTTTTCCAACTAAACTTAATTTTTCATATTTCACTCCGGAGGATTCTGGGAACGCGAGGTAAACTCGAGATGCCAGCTGACGGCTCATCGAATCCAGTAACGATCTTGGGTTTCTGAGTGTTCTCTGGGGTCTCAGAGCAGCAGAAGTCTTCCCCTGAACCTAATCACCTTACCTTACTTTGGCTCAACAGAGTGAAGATTAATATATTTCTAGTTTTCTTCAACGGAGCTTATGGATTTATAATTTTCTGTTTTTACTCATTGGAGCTTTACAGATTTATAATTCTTTGGTTCAGCTCATTGGAACAAAGGAATTACAACACGATTGGACTGTTTCGCCACTTGGACATCAACCAACAGTAACACCTTTCAAGTAACAAGTGGACTTTTGACTACTGACTTGGCTATGTAACCGAATAATCACTATGGATTTCTGCTACAACGCTGATCCCCTGCAAATCATCAATTAAAGCAAAGAATAAAATATAAGATTCTGGACTATCATTTCACCACTTCGTGTTCATGGATTTAAGAAGCTTGGTAAGTAAGTAAGTAAAACTTTATTTTTATAGCGCTTCTCAAGATAAAAATCACAAAACGCTTTAACAAATCAGATAAATAAAAGTAAAAAACAAATTCAGTCAAAAGCAGATTTAAAAAGATAAGTTTTTAGCTGACCTTTAAAAGAAATCACTGAGTCCACTAATCGGAAAGTTTGAGGAAGAGAGTTCCAGAGTCTTGGAGCCGCGGAAGAAAAGGCTCTATCTCCTTTAGTCTTCAATTTTGTCGGGAGACAGTCAGTAGGCCTTGATCACAGGACCTCAGAGCTCTGATCGGTGTGTAGAGATGTAAAAGTTCTGTTATGTAATTTGGTGTTTGACCATGTAAAGCTCTCCAGGTTAAAACCAAAACCTTAAAATACACTCGATGTTGAAATGGGAGCCAATGCAGTTGCTTTAAAAGTCATGTTGCATGGCAATACTTTGATGATCCAGTCAGGAGTTGAGCCGCAGCATTTTGCACAGACTGCAACCGGTCTAGGGAGGTTTTGGTTAAACATGTATACAGTGCATTACAATAATCCAGGCGAGATGAAACAAATGCATGAATTAACATTTCCATTTCCATTTCTGGACGGGAAACAATATGGCTAAGTTTGGCGATGTTACGCAGATGGTAGAAACAAGAACGAACCAGTGACTTAATATGATTTTCCAGAGTAAAACAAGAGTCAAAAGTTAGCCCAAGATTTCTAACCGAAGACTTGGCTAAATGACCAAGAGGTCCAAGGTTCTGCTTTATCACTGCAGTTGTTTTTTCTGGAGCAAAGATTATTACTTCAGTTTTCTCACTGTTCAGCTGAAGAAAACTTTCTGTCATCCAGCTTTTAACTGAATCCATACAGTTGAGTAAGATGTGTAATTTTGAAACCTCATTTGGAAAAAAAGAGATGTACAACCGAATGTCATCAGCATAACAGTGATATGAGACATCCTTAAAAGATGACAGTATTTGACCAAGAGGGAGCAGATGGAACAAAAACAATGGCCCCAGAACAGAGCCCTGAGGAACGCCAAAATGAACAGGGCAGGACTGGAATCTGAAGTAGAGGAAGCCAAGAAGACTGATCTATCGGACAGGTTAGAGAAATAAATTGCCCTTGCTTCTTTAACTGCATTGTTAAAAGAGGCTAAAAGATCCTTTAAAAACAGAAGATGCACCTGTAGATTAGTTTTCTTCCACAAACGTTCAGTTTTTCTACAAGAACGCTTTAAACATTGAATGCTGTCATTTATCCACAGTGTGGGGTTAGAAACAGGCAATGACCTTTTTTGATAGGGCAAATATTGTCTAAAACAGAGAGAAAATGTTCATTAAAATGATCAGTCAGTAAAACTACATCATTAAAAGGAGATAAAAATGGATTAAACTCAGCCAAAAAAAGGTCTGCTGTTGATGAGTTTAAAAAGCGAGAGCTGACCTCACGGCGAGGTGATTGCTGTAAAACAGTTAGACATAAATTAAAAATAATACAGTGATGATCAGAGATAAAAATGTCCTCAGAAGACAAAAAAATCAATGTTCACACCTAAAGTAAAAACAAGGTCCAAGGTATGTCCTTTGGAGTGAGTTGGTCCTGACATATGCTGAATGAAATTTAAAGAGTCCATTACACTGAAAGTTCTTTGCCAAGGAGTCAGTGACGTCATCAACGTGGACATTAAAATCGCCAACAATAACCAGCCTGGACAGCTTTAGAGTAGCTGATAAGTCACTAAAATCATTTTCAGAAAGAACTGTTTGGACCAGGTGGACGGTAAACCACTGCACAATAAAATGGGTCCTTAATCCCAATTTTAAAGAGCTGCAGCTAGAACGATGCAAATCGTCCAACATTAGATGTGCGGCAGGAAAACCTGTTTCTAAACACGGCTGTGAGGCCTCCTCCACGGCCAGACAGCCACGGCTGGCTGATGAAAGAATAGCCACCAGGACACAATTCGATAAGAGAAATAAAATCTGAATCACGTTGCCAGGTCTCAGTAACAAAAAATCCAGATTTCAGGATTTTATAAAGTTGTTCAGCATGAACGATTTGTTTGTAATTGAACGAACATTAAACAGAGCCATAGGCAATGGGGAAGAAGGTGGGGTACTTGCTGTAGCAGCCCGTTCCAGGTGACAGAGAGACTGAGGGTTAGATACATGGATATTACGTAGACCCTCAACGGAGGGAAGAAATGGTGATGAGTCCGGAGTTTCTGGTGATATAGGAATGATTATTTTGATGCTTTTATGTCAATTTATACTTA